TTGACACCCATGCTCTACGTTATATCAAAACTTAGTTCCCGTATCTTCGAAAAGAATGGATCCACCTTTGCCAAAAACTAAACAGCACGTTTACTTATGTATGAAAATCGAATGTTTTTTTTAATCTTTTAAATCGATTTATCCTTGCGCCCGAAATCGTGGATTAAGAATTGTATCCAAACATACACATGCATCCATTTTTTCTAGGAAGTTAAATATTCAAAACAATTATCATCTTATAATTTTCCTAGCACATTAATATCTATTATGATTTGCCTCGGAGACCATAGCAATTACATGTTTCTATTTATAAAAATAAATCATGATTATGGATTTATTAGTTGTATCAATGTTATAACGGCTAGACTTTCGCCAAAAACTAATCAGCACGTCTCCTTATCAATACAAATCGGATGTTTTTTTAATGATTCAAATCGGTTGATCGTGGTTCCCGAAATCGTCGACGAAAATTTATATCCGCACACCTATACACATACACACACATACATCAATTTTTTCTCAGGTGTGCCAAAATAAAAGTGATATTTAATACTAAAGTAATTGCGAAGCTTTATGTGAGTTTTATACAAGGATTTAAAAGCGGAAAAATCATAAATATGACGTGAGTTTCAAAAAAAATTCAAATTTTCAAAAAAATCAAATATTAAAAAAGTTGTTTTTAGTAAGTTAGTTTTGGGTACAGAAAGTTCCAGCAATTTGCCTTAAGGCACGATGCCATGCATCACTAATTTCATAATTGTTATTGTAATTAACTCTTTGATACGTAAATGATCGCAGCCCACACGATATATCTGGAATTTTCAAATTTTGATGCGGTCTATACGAGTAAACGACGATTTTCGGTGCGTTTTCAAAGAGTTTAAAAAATCTAATTCATTATTTGAATAGTGAATAGTGATTTATTCCACGCATGATTATAGTGAATTCAAAACTAAATCATTATTAATATCTTCTTATATATAAAAATGAATCGCAAAATGTGTTGGTAAGCGCATAACTCAACAACGCCTGAACCAATTTAGCCAATTCTTTTTTTTAAATGTTCGTTGAAGTCCAAGGATGGTTCTTACGGCGAGAAAAGATCGAATAATTGCCGGAAACCCCTAAAAACAGATTTTTTCTTTTTCACATACAAACGTTTTCTAACTAAAACGTAGAATCTATTTGAACGTTAAAATTCTTCTGCAATGATGTATGAAAGGTAATCCTACCGAACGATTATTCATATTTTAAAAAATCTTTCTGAAGTTTGTTATGGGATTTTTTTAGCATTTTTTGAAATATATAAATATAGTTAGATTGTAGAAATAAATGGAAAAAATTATAAAAAAACGTTGATCATTCATTGGCATTGAAAATATTTGAGGCATTGTTTGGCATTAAGAAGACAGTCATTTGCCATTACCTTTAAAATAGTATATTACAAGTTCTGATGAAGTCAGAATTAAAAGAGTTGTAATCCAATCAATGCGGGGGGTGGCGACGGAATGCAAATTGTTTTCACTTCTGAACTTGAGATTAAGATTAGCCTATTTCCAAAATATCATGCAAATTGGAGCACAGTAAAAAAAATCACAGGGCACACGCTTTTTCCTCTCCATATTTTTTTTGATTGTAGGTTGAATAGAGCACATGAGAACAGGATTTGACAAATTAATTCACTTCAAATATAAGCTTAAGTAATAATGTATATTGAATTATTTGTGGGAAAATGTAATTTAGATACTAAAATCACTAAAAGCGATTTAAAACATGGTACGAAATTATAAAAATTATAGGCAACATTATTGAAGACATTATTTTGGGTAGAAAATTTCCAGGTGATATTGTACTTTTACCGCAAATGCTATATATTAATTCTTTCTGAATTTGTTATACCTTTTAAAAGAGTTCTTATGCTATTACCACTAATACATCACAAAGACAGACGATGATTTTTTGTGTGAAAAATTTGGAAAATCAATGTTTTAGTAAATAAACAATAAATCATTTATTTATACATCCACATCTACAGGTGTAACTAAAAATATTGGATAACCTTTGGCATTAAAATGAGCTATTGGAAATAAATTTGTTCAATAAATTGCAGTGTATATTATTAATATACAGTTTTATTGAATATATTTTAATATTTGTTAAAGGGATAAATAAAGTGTTAACTATGGGAATTGATAGTCATCAATTCCCATCTCTCATATAAGTAATTCAAAAAACAAAAATTATTAATTTTAACTGAACGGTAAATATTAGTATAGGATATGAAAAAAATGTAGATGTGGGTACAGGATAACGTCTGTCGGGTCATCTAGTTATTCAGTATTATTAATAACACACTACTTTACCTTTATTGCGCCAACAATGGCAGCTGCTCCAGCCATGTCTGCACGATGCTCGTCGATAATTGTCCTATTTGATTCCTTTTTCAAATGAAGACCGCCGGTATCAAAAGTCGTGCCTTTTCCAACCAATATTATTGGTTTATCAAATTGAGGTGCTCCACAATACATCACTTCCACCATGACAGGTGGTTCACAACTAGATTTTCCAACCATTAAAAAGGCGTCAAACTTTCTAGATTCCATCCATTCTTTTGTTCTGACATCAACCATTATCGCGCAATTGCACACTTCATCAACTACAGCTTGAGCAAAAGCTGTCGGCGTCATCACATTACCAGGCGCCTCGCACAATCGCCTCGCCAAATTTTGATTTTGACCAAATATCAAACCTCTCTTCCAGCCTATAAAAAACATGCAAGTTTTTAGAAGATGCGAATTCTGAACACAATTATTCCACATTAATACACAGGATGAATCGCATGTTCTCTATGATTTCGAGTTAAGGAGCACACATCTAGTGTGAAATTTTCAAAAAATCGAGTTTTCAATTTTTTCATATTTCGATAGGTTATACCTTTAACAATAACATATCAAAATTATAAATCGATATCCTAAATAGTTTTTGAGTCACAGCCATTTAAAGAGTATATATGTGCCCATAATTATGAAAGTGGTCTAAGTCAAAATTAAAAAAAAATGAGTTTCTAAGTTATTTTATACCACATTATTTAAACTAAATGTATTCAATGTAATTTTTACGAAATTGTCAAAAATGAACCATTAGATCAAGGATGAGCAACCCGCGGCCCGCCGGATGTTTTTCTGCGGCCCGCCAAGCATTTCTCAACAGATTATTTTTCTAGATATTTTATCAAATACGGCTGTAAAGGCTAATTTTGTCTTCAGCCAAATTCTGGTAAAAGCTGTTGTTCGAAGAAATAGCATTTCCTGATAAAATAAATATTAATTAATTTAAATATTAGTTTGACAAGCTTCAATGTTGCAAGAAAAATTGAAAACTTGTCCGAGGACATAGCAACAACGCATTTCTAAAATTAAAATAATTAAATAAGTAAATCTTATAAAGTCGCGAGGATTAAATCATTGCAAATTTAAAGACTTCCTGACAATTTAGATCGTGAATATGGCGATTTTCAGTACTAAAGTACGTTAGCTCAATAGTGATGTAATGCTTAAAGGATTATACGACTCAAATGGCGAATTACAATTGTTTTAGGATGTGAAATAATATTTATAGTCATTTCGTCATTTTTGTAATAAAGAATAATATCTTTTGCAGAATCTTGTGTTTCACTTTTCACATTCAAAAAAGGAAAATGTAAACAAATTTTAATTGTGATTCCAAATGTTCAAAGCTAACAAGACAGCTGTTTTTATCTAATTGTTTTCTTCGCTATTTAACATGCAAAATAATACAGATTTAAAAAATTCATTTTTCAGTAACCATCGAATTTTTTTATAAATCTTAAATCTAAAATCGCTTTTGAAAAAAAAACGCAAATCAATTTATGATAAATTCTCTTTTTGGAAGTACGTATATGCGCGAATAATTACACATTAATAATAATTAATCCATTCAGAAAAAAATCTAGATCGAAGATTATGCCAGTTTTTAAATGTTTAAATCTTTTAATTATTATTATTTCACTTAATCCTAATCAGATGCGATACATATATGCTTTTGTTTACAATTCTTACAATTCTCTGTTTCTACACTTATAAGCTTTGGTGTATTTTAGACCTATATAATAAGAAATGTGAAGTTGACAGTATATATTTATAATAATCTATTTGAAAATGCACGAAATTACTATTAATCATAAAATAAGTGAAAATCTGGCGCAAAATTCTTGCTCGCCAGAAATCCTGTTACGACAGATATCATGCTACAAGGAATACTGGCGTCGTGTGCACCGGGCTTTGTACTAATGATTTTCTAAAAATATTTTCTGTAGCTAAACGTTTGCCGGGTCAGCTAGTATATATATAAATTACGTGCGGCCCGCATTAAAATTTGAAAATTTAAATTAGCCCGTGGGTTAAAAAGGTTGCTCGCACTTGCATTAGATAGTGGTTGTAATTTCAACATTATATGGAATTCATTTAGTGTTAATTATGAAAGTGGTCTATGTCAAAAATTAAAAGAAATTATATAAACATCTTGGAAATGGCACGTGGCCTTCTTTGACGCGTTTCTGAACTACATAATAAAATAAATGACAATCAAATTTTAATAATAACGACAATTTCATTCCGGTTTATCTAACCATATAATTCAGTTTGGCGCTTCGGAATTAATAAAATTACTGGTGGCATATAATTTATATATTTTAACACTATGTCAACAGATAACGGTTCAGGTAAGTTAATAATAACGTACTTATTATGTGAATATATTAATTATTATTCGAATAAGATGTGATCTGCAGATATTATACGTCCACGTAATACTTCCAAGAAATGGAAAAGAGTAAGGCAGTTATCATCTTCAGATGAATCATAAGAAGATTTCTTTATAAATTTAGAAACCCCAGAAATGGTGCAGAGAGAAAAAGATAAGACAAAAAACGGGCAAAAAATGAAGGTAGTTACGCACAAAATATTAGAATAATTAAGAGAAATAATGGCAAAGAATACACGACAAAAAAATCAAAACTTGTAAGTGCTAAAATTTTTGATAATAAGGATTGCTTTTGCTCAAAAAAATGTTTAGATCGCGTAGAATATAATGAAAGAAAATTTAATTTTGATACTTTCTGGAAACTAAAAGATTTAATAATAATATTGAAACGGTAGACCACAAATTTTTGATATCAGGTCATTCCTTTCTACCAAATGATCGTAATTTTGGGTTGATAGAAATAAAAATAAAAAAAGAAAATTACTTATACAACCCTGAGCATTATTATGAATTGATAGAAAAGTGCAGAAGAAGCAATAAATTTTCGATAAAGCGAATATCGCAGCCGGATTTCATTTCAACGAAATCATTAGAAGATACAATAACAAGAATAGTAAAAAATACCGCGGGCGAATCTGTCTCTGGGCTACAAATTCAATGGATGAGATTCTTGAAAAATGAACCTTATAAAATGTTTTATAAAACTTCTTTGGATGATTCTACATTTCACGTTTTGGATCTTTCACCTAAAAGAGGAAGACCAAAAATATACGGAAATATTAAATTACTTCCATTCTACACCAGCATTAGACCAGTATCGGAAGAAAAACTTAAAGATATTATGAGTTTACTACCGTACATTCCTCCAGTTTTTCAGGAACATTTTAAGAATCTTAAATACTCGAAATAATGATAAAAATGGATTACCGTTTAAAAATAATAAATAAATGCTCACGAATTATTCCAATAAAATTATTGTTTCAAATAAAACTCAAAGTTCTTTATTGCTTTAAGTCAATTTAAATGGCATTCAGTTAATTTTGAAAATGGTCAAAGTCAATTCAAACTTTAAAAACAATATTATCGTATGAAATTCACACAAAACTTCATATTCATAATAAATTTCCATTAATTAAGACTAATAAAATTGAAAAAATTAAAATGTCGCATAATGTAAAAATATTTTTTAATTTATTCAAATGCAATTCATTAAATATCTTGAAACAAGAAATATATGACTTAGACCGCTTTCATAATTATGGGCATATATGTATGTATGTATGTACGTAAAATGTGCATATCTAACCTTCAGTGTCATTTGATTCATAGGGCTCTACAATCGGTATCGGTTGGCGATACTTTTTTGATTTAAACTCTTGGTATCGAAAAGCGGCTAATGTAGCTGCTTCGGCAGCTTCTTGTGCATAACCACCCATATCTTCAACCATGATTTTTTTCATGCCTTCTTTTCTTAGTCTTGTAACTCCAGTAGCAACAGCCACACGAACATCTTCCCTACCTTCATCAATAATTTCCAATTGATTGTAACCAGCTCCCTTCTTTCCAATCTCGACAATACACACGGATACAAACTCCGAATCAAGATTATTGAATACATGACCTTTTCCTTTACCCTTTCGCATGTCGCTAACTTCTTTTATCATTTGCACAAGTTTTCCACTAACCTTGTCATTATATCGTTCTGCTGTAGGTGTCAGTTTTGGGCATTGACCCAGTTCGTACGCTCCCAAGACTAAACCTTGCCGCCCTACATCGCAGTCATTTTTAGATGAATAATTTCGTATGATTCCGTTAAATGGTCTGATTGCGTAAATAGCTCTTTTCCAACTTGTCATTTTGTATACCAGAAATTAATTTTGTATTATACTGAAATTTTGAATAATACTAAAAATTTTGAAGAAAATTGAAATTTATTTCCGCGACCGTATGATGATTTTTTGTTTTCGACGGGTGACTAATGCTACTAGATAATTTGATAATCCCACAAAATAATAATCATGCTAGCTATGAAAAATGCAATTTTGTTTGGTAGAATTTCATATGCATAGATATTTTCTGTCACATATAATAATACAGTGAAGAAAAAAATCATTGCCTTCAATGAAGAAATTATTATTTGAAAATTAACCTTCATTCATTTACTAACAGTAACCAAATACCGTTGTTTCAAAAAAGACCGTCGAGAAATCTCGGTGCTGTAAGTACAAATTATGATACAAATCTAGAAACTATTGGGGTGTATAGCATCGTGCATTAAGGCAAATTGCTGGAACTTCCCGTACCGTAACGAAATGTTCGAGGAATATTAAAAATGTTTTCAAATAAATTATTATTAATATTGTAACATTGTCTAATATCTATATGAATTA